GGCTGGGGAAGAACAGGTACATAGCTTAGGACAAGTCTCAAAGCTTCGAGCAAATTGATTCTATTCAGCCACAGTAATACCAGAAAAAATATGACAGAACTGTCCCCACATGAGCGGTTTTGATAGATCTGAGTCACTGATTCATCTTGAACAACACCTTCTTCACTTAGCGCTCTACATTTGTTTGAGCTCCTTTGCCTAAGACTGTGTGTCTGATGTTTGACTTGCATGTACAAAGAAAACAAATGCTGCTAAATTCTAACTAGGTGACTGACTAGTGAAACTACTGATCCTAAGTTGTAAAAATGCTAAAATATCTAAACACTTTCATTGTGGTGTTTTGGTTGTTTTTGATCTGGAAAAAATTTTCTGTTCAAAGCACCAACATCTTATACGTGTCATTTGCATGCGTATCTTGCAATTACTTCGCGGAATACAAGAATTATAATGAGGTGTATTTACATGAGAAATAACAACGATGCGAAGAATATTATCATTCATCATCTACCAGACAATAATTGTCTGTATCACATGGTCTCCTTTCGCAGGCATAATTTTCATCACTGTCGCAGTTAGCGTTATGCCATACAAGTCTGGAACTGAATCAATTTGGGAATTGCTTGATCTGGTGCTAAAAATGTACTTACCTTCCATCAGTCCTCGTCATATACACACAGTCTCCTTGGGCCTTCGGATATCCAGCTGGCCACATGTTGAAAGTGTTGCGTACCTAAGCAAATATTTGGATAGTATACCGAAAAATGTCGAATTATCCTACCTCTTCGCCGTCAGGCCAAGCAAATGCGCCATAGGAATTGCGCTCCAATCCAATCCAGAATTTGCTCTCCCATGGTGGCATCACTAAAATACGACCAGTCCGTAAATCCGTAAATTATTCACTGTAAGCTAAACAGTGGTCTAGCTGCTCACATTCGGCGAGAAATTCGGCTTTCGCATAGCTGTCCACGGTCGCTAAGGTAGAGTAATGGAAATAGCAACTTCGTGATGCTAATTTCTGAACAGAATAATTTGCTGGTTTCCTGACTTTACTAATATGAACATACTTGCTCCGCAGGAATGCCTACAGCACGATAGCATCCATTGGCTGGCTTGTCAAACGGTTTATACTGCTTCATACAGAAACAATTGGCTAGAATAGCACTTTCAGTTATTTGTACAGTTTTATATTTAATTGTGATTATGTCATTTAATAAACTCAATATTATATATCGAACATGATTAAGAAAAGATCTCACCATCGCAGAATGCTTTTCGCAC